CAATGCTTTTTCCGACGTGTGCGTATGAAAACAAAAGCACTGCGCATGCGCGTTTTACCCATATTCTATCGCGATATTTCATTTTTCTATCGTTGCCCAAAATTATACCGGTATTACCGTGAACGGTATGATATAGCCCAGCCCTAGCTTCAAGTTTCCATCATTGTGGTGGAGCTCTGTTTAAAACGTCTCAAAGGCAGCCGTGTTGGGTGCTGTTTATGGCTTGGAAAGTTTCTTGGCTTTAATTTAGCGTTCAGAGTTAATGACATATTTCATAACTGGAAACAAATGTGCACTTTTCTACCTGATGTGGGTCGCTGTATGCTGCATTACCATCATTCACTAGGCTACGTTTTTTGCATCTTATACTACGGACATGGAGGAAACGGAGTACGCCTCCTTCAAAGCCTAGATCACGTGTATTATCCATGACTGACATGTAGCCCAACTTAGGTCCAAACAAAGTTGTTTTCAAAATCTTTGGAAGAGAAAATCATAACTGAAAGCAAAGTCTGAGGAATCACCCAGAACTTCATTCTATAGAGGGAACAGGATGCACATACATGTTAAACTCAGTCACGTGAGACAGCAGCCATGCAGCATGCATGCACCAGTGCAGACTTAATATGAAAAAAGGGAAAAAGTTATGTTTCAGTTTGATTTCTTTTACCGGGCTTCTTGCTGGTTTGTTTACATGTGCATGCTTTCTTTTTTCACGTATTTGCAACACACTGACTTGCAGAGATGAAGATCTCTGTGAGCTTGATTTTCAGTCCAGGAAAATCACTTTAACATTCGCCCAAGTACTCGCAGTTATACCCGCCATTCAACGCTGGCAAACATGATAAAATCTCTGTATGTAAATTTAAAACACACGTCACTGCTGACACTCTGCCATCCATTTCCTCCACCTCAGATCCTGTGGACATTTTCTATCTACTTGGAGTCAGTGGCCATACTACCTCAGCTCTTCATGATCAGCAAGACGGGAGAAGCTGAGACCATCACCACCCACTACCTGTTCTTCCTGGGTCTGTACAGAGCTCTCTACCTCATCAACTGGATATGGAGGTTCTACTTTGAGGGGTTCTTTGATATGATTGCCATCGTTGCTGGAGTGGTGCAGACCATCCTCTACTGCGACTTCTTCTATTTGTATGTAACAAAAGGTGAGTGCTGCTGCATTTTTCATTTCATTTTTTAATCAAATATATATTTGTTCAAACCAAAGTTTGAATCTCTCTAATGGTAGCAGTGCAGATATGTTGTCATTTGTTTCAAGGACAAAGCAAACATGAGCACAAGATTAGATTCTCCAATCTGAACATTTTGTTTTTACTGTGTGTAGTGTTTTGTTTTCTTCTTTGGGTTTTTTTCTTTTCATGATTTGCGGATGATCTGATATCGTCGTGTTGGTGTTGTTCCCAGATCATCATGAAAATGTTGTTCCAGGTTCAACATTGCAAGTGACCAATCACATTATTGTGACGTTATTCTTTTGCGCACCAACCCATTCGTGCATTTATGAAATTCCAATGTTGCAAGGACAATATCAATTCTGCTTAGCGTTTATTAAAGGTTTAGGGTCAGGGTCCGTTAATCGGCGGACAAAGGCGGTTTCTCGCAGCTTAACTACAGTTTTTTGTTTTACGCCGGTTTTTCCCGAAGTCGCAAAAGTATGACATCACAACATTCTGATTGGTCACTTGCAATGGTGATCCTGGAACAACCTTTAGTATGATGATCTGGGAACAACACCAACACGAGGATATCAGATTGTGCATGATTTGCAATCCTAAACTTTTAAGGTTTGTCCATAAATTGATGTCATTGAGTTCATAACTGTCTTGTTTACAAAAGAGTATCAGGAAGAGATTCATGGTCATATCAACTACTGTATCACAAAAATTCAGAAACGCCCTCGATGCTTCATCATTTATTGAGTTTCTAATATGAGTTTAAGACGACTTCCTTTTTTTTTTCTCACTGATGACACAAACAACACAACCAATGCAGTGGCCACAAACCAGGCTTTACACTCATGTTTCAGAGCACACGGGGCAGCACATATAGTCACTCCACCATCTTGTGGTAGAAACTGGTGTTCATCAAAATCATAGATCGACTTCAGCTGATGTCTCTTAAACACAGCGCATAGACATTTGGATATAAATAGCAGTGGCTTCTTCACATCCCTTTGATTGCTTTAAATAATTCAGGTATAATAAGTTCCCTTTAACTACACTGATGTTTAAACAAATGTTGATAAAATAAAGTTTTCATATAAGTTTCGGTGTTCAAGTCTCAGGCAGCAAAAACACCAAACTGAAAAAAATCCATCCATCAGTGTGTCTTCTTGTGATGAATGCTCGCTGTCTAACATGTTTAACATAAATCTGTCCTGTCTGGTTTCAGTACTGAAAGGAAAGAAGCTGAGTCTGCCAGCCTAAGTGCCAAAGAAGAGTGTTTTGGCAGACTCAAATCGGGCGATTGGAGGGGAGGAGGAGGGGCAGCAGACGCCTCTGACAGCCCCATTCCCCCAATATCAGCAGTCACTTCCTCCTCTTCCCCTCCCACCAGTGTAAGATGCCTGAGACAGAGAGCTAGCAGGAGCCACTGGCTGATCCAGAATCAGTGGATTGGAACACCTTCAGCAGCTGCTCCTTGGCCTGCAGATTTCTGTTTGATGCATCTTGCCTTAACTTTTTTTATTACTCTGTATAACGGAAGGAAAAAAAAAGCGAGAAATGTTTTCTACATAAAATGTGTACTCTGGAGATTCGACACATCGATGGAGCTCGGGAGATAAAATTGCCTGTGATTTGGCACTGTATGATATAGAAGCAGACTTCTTGTGGTGGGATATTATTGAGCATTTTTAATAGTATTTGCAATCAAAATAAAATCTCTTTGTTCTTGTTTTTTTTTTTTTTTTCTTCTAAATCTGACTGAGGAGGCTTGTCCCATAACTTTGATTCTGCCGTTCTGTTTTTGGCCAGTATGCATTCCCATTTGTAATGACTGCTGCTCATGCCTTTTGGTGGAAAAAAAATAGTAGTAGATGCCATAAATTGTTCTTTTTCAAAATCAAAGCAACTCTGAAGGTAACTTTAGAATATATTTAGGTTCAAATGCTGTCAGAAATGATGGGCATTAGATCCTCAGTGTATTCTCCATTGCCATATGAAGCACGGTCCATATTAGGAGTAAACATAAACAAAAACAAACGTGTGAAGAAAGTCAGTGAACTCACCATTAATTGCTTTCGTTTAAAGTAACCGATGCCACCTGTAATTATACAT